TGATCCTTGCTTTAAGTAAAACTGTAAAAAGCATGTTATACTTTATATTTTCCTATTGATGACTTATGATCCTAGAGAAACTGTAGTTGCATTGTCAGTTAAATATAGTTGACCCTTGACATCAGCAAGAACGCTTCCTGACCTTTATAAATCCTTACACTTGTTAATAAAATTAAAGTATATAACTTCTTCCATCAAACGAAGTCCAAGATAACTTAAGAGCATTTGCACACATGACAAAAAAGAGAAAAACAGCACCCAGGTGCAGCGCCTCTGCAGGCCGTAGTCCAGGCTCCGTCACCAGCCAAAGGACTCCCACTCCTGTACACCAGCCTCCTGCACCTGTAGTTCATTTGTATGCCTCAGCCAAGGTACAGTTTGCATCATGTTATGAATGTTTGGGTTACTTCTGAAAAGTGTCACATATTGAATCTGTGAATTTAAGAGTCTTTTATATTAATTGAATGGGATTTTTAAAAGAAATCCTTTAAAAAAAAATACTGTTGCATTCTTTTTTCAATCTGTGGTGTTATCTGTGCTCATATCTTACATGCAAAGCAGCGGAACTCTACATCTTTGGTAACCCGATAGCTCCTTTGAAGTTACTCTTCTTTCACTTTAACTTCCATTCAGTGATAAGCTCAGCACTAATTATGATGTAGCTTGTAAGTGAACGTGTCCAAATGGTAGTACAAGATAGTTCACTAAAGTGGAAAATAATTTTAATTGTTAAAGTTGTACTCAGAGATCTTAAAAGATTACTTAGAAAAAACATTGACAGACTCTAAATTCGGGACAGTTTGTTTACACAGTGGGTTATTTATTCTCTTTAGGGTATTCTTGGCTGAACAATTTGAGTTCCTTCAGCCGCATCTGGATGCTGTGATGCCTGCAGTTAAAAAGCCCTTTCTTCAGCAGTTTTATTCTCAGGTCAGAGATGGTCTTGTATATCATTTCAACTGTGAGCCAAATAGGACTGTCACAGATTATTTAGGGTTTTTTTTTTTTTTTTCAATTAGAGGTCAGTCCCCAAAACCCCAAAGAGCTGGATAGATTATTCATTTATTCACTCATGAATTCCTGCATTAAATAATACTTATCAAGCACCGCATATAACTTTTAGGCATGAGAGAGCCAATTAAAACTGTATTTACAATAAAGTATGATAAGTGCTATGATAAGGGAAAGAGCAGTGACAGGTGTTTAACCCAGACTGGAGGACTGGAGGGGCTGTGGCTGGGAGAAGGTTGTCGGAAAGGCTGTCTAGAGGAAGTGATGTTTAAACTGGACCAGCCAGGCAGAGAAGGTGAGTGGGGGAGGTATATTCCAGATGAAAGGAGTGGCTATATGAAGACCAGAAGGGAAGAGAGAACACAGTGTATGGGAGCAGCTGGGAACTCAACTTGTCGGGGCAGGGAGGAGGGCCGGTGATGAGAAAGGTCGCTGGAGGGATAAGCAGGAGCCACATCCTATAAAGCACCCTCAGCCAGGAGTTGGACTTTATTCCAAGGGCTCTGGGGAGCTACTGGAGGGTTTGAAACAGGTGAGCAGCATGGACAGATGTGTGTTTCAGGAGTTCTCTGGGGGCACTGTGGAGAGTAGACTGTAGACGGCAAGCTAGAGACAGGGAGACCAGTGTGAAGGCTGCTGCAGTATTGCAGGTGACAGAGGATGAAATCCTGATATAGGGTAGTGGGAGTGGAAATGGAGAGAGCTGGCAAGAATTTGAGAAATATTTGCTAGTCTCCATGAAAATCTCTAGTTCTCTTATAGTTGTAGTGTCTCTTATATTTGTAGCATCAATGGCTTCAAGTTTATGTTTTGCATAAGGCCTTTGCCTTACTCAAAGTATTTTCATAATTGAAATCTCCAGATGTATAGTGTTTTATTTTCAGATATGGTGTATACTAGAAACAGGGGCAAAGCATTCTTTATAAATCTGATAACTTTTAGAAAGTAATTGTTTTCGTTTCTGTGAAATTTATTTCAGACAGTTTCAACTGCCAGTGAACTACGCAAACCAATTTACTGGATTGTAGCTGGTAAAGCCATTGATTATGAACAGATGCTGCTCCTAATGGCTACTGTGAAATGGGATGTAAAAGAAATTATGTCACAGCACAACATATATGTAGATGCATTGTTGAAGGCAAGTGCTCTGGAAACATCTCTGCTGAAGATCATTCTGCAAAGAAAAATATTCTTTTATTGCAAAGGCTTTAAAATAGTGCAATTATAATTACTAACACATTTTTAACATTGTGACACTAAAGTCCTTGAATTGAAATAGGCTTACTTTCTGACTTTTGTCTTCGATTAGATGTAAGACTACTTTGTAGATTTTTTGTTTTTGTTTCTATTTTAATTAGAAGTTGTTTTTATTGTTTAGTGCATGTATTCATTAGCAAGAGACCATGCTCTTAATTATTCTGAATTGTTATTTCTAGAAATCATATTGCTTTTTCAGTGTGTCCTACAAACACACTGAAACACACCCTTTGCATTCAATGACCTACATTTATAAGTTTCCTGGAAAGAACTGTAGTTCCTTTTTTTTTTCCATTTGTCCGTGAATAGCTATTTATAGATCTGACATGTGAGAGGCACTGATAGAGGTGCTGGCAATAGAGTTGTGAATAGAGAAACTTACATGCCCTCAGGGAATGTACATACCAGTATACAGATAGCAGTAAACAGATAAATTGAGATATAATGTCAAGTGATGAATAATGCTGTGAAAAAGAAATAAACCATTAAAAGAGAATAACAGGATCTGGGTGGGAGCAGAATACCATTTATTTATTGTGGTTAGAGAAGGACTCTGATAAAGTGAGAGTGGAGATGAGGCCTGAAGGAAGTAAGGAAAAGAGACACGACACGTGGATATCTAAGGTGAGGAAAGAGCATATGTGAAAATGAAAGCAACTTTCAGAAAAATTTTGTTTTTCCTTTTGACCCTTCTCAACTCCTGACTTTTAACTCATTTACACAATCACCTGCTTAGCCCTAAGGCAACAAACAATAGCCTGGGACACCTGAGAACCAATAAACGGAGCTCTAGACTAAAACAGATAGCAGCGGAGTTCCTCTAGTGTGCCAGCTCCCAGCACCTTACACCCTTCTGGGGAGACTGTGAGGCTGTCTCTAGACTCAAGGGTGCCAAGATCAGTAAGCAGTGGCTAGGAGTTTCCATGGAGATCTCGGGGTGGGAGGGGGCTGGAGAGGGTTGCCGAGGGGAGGAGGGATGCTCTATATTTGCCACCCTTGAATTCAGAGATCATTGACCTTAAAAGATAATCAAAGGAAGAACTTCAGTTTCTAGAATACCCAAGAGATTTCAAGTGTGAGTTTTCATTTGGAATGTAGAAAATTAAGGTAATTTATGAATAATAACACCCTCTTTTTAGGTAATAATTCTATTTTTCAAAAGTTGATTCTATTTTTTATGGCATGCTATCTTAGTCCATTCAGGCTGTTATAACAAAATACCATAGTCTGGGTGGCTTGTAAACAACAAATAGTTATTTCTTATAGTTACAGAGGCTAGGAAGTTCAAGAGCAAGGTTCAGGCAGATTTGGTGTGCGGTGAGGACCTAATTTCTCGTGGATGTCACCTTCTTACTGCATCCTCCCATGGCGAAAGAGGCAAGGTAGCTCACTGGGGCTCTTTTATAGGGGCACTAAAGGCATTCATGAAGGCTCTGCCCTCATGACCTAATCAACCCCAAAAGGTTCCACCTCCCAACACCATCACTCTGGCAGTTAGGATTTTAACATGGATTTGGGGGAGACACAAACATTCATACTGTAGCACATGCTAACCATGGTACTCATAGGGATGCAAGAGAAAGACTTCTGTAACTCAGTGAATATACATAGTTGAAGGAGGCTTCTTGCTTCAGTTATTCTTAATTCCAAGAAATATGAATATTGTAAGAAAGAACTAATGTTATTCAGGTTATTAACCTGAACCCAATTTTTAGCAGCTTAAGGACTTCCTTAAGCATAAAAGTTAATTATCTCTGATAACTTTTGTTCTTTCTGTTACTTTTCTAAGTCTAAGCATTTAGGTGAAGGCAGCCTGCTTATGTTGCCCCAAAAGAATCAGAAGTAGAATGAGATGGCTTTATTATTCATTTTACAGCAACCATTTCTGAACATTGAATTTAGCATTAAGTAGAGTGTCATTAACATACAATAAGCCTGTATCTTTATCTTTTAAATAAAATATTAGTGAAAAATGTTGAATTGTGACTCTTCAAATCCAAATCAGTTATAGTAGTAAATTCTACTGCTTTGCTAGATCCATGAAATGAAACAATAGATGAAGAGCAATTATTTATTTAACTTTGATTTTCAAAGGTAAACTTAGTGAATTGACAATCCACTTCTTTCTAATAATTAAAATCAATGAACTATTAAAAGTGAATCAGCAAGAAAAATTGTGATTTAGGAAAAAGAGCAAAGGAGAGCACAATTATCATTGTGTGGTAGCTTGACTGGGGATCAGATTAAATTTTTTTTCTCCTGTATGTGGTTAGAAAACATGGACGCCTTTCAGTCTTGTTAAACATTGTGTGGCTTCTTCATTCAGGAAACTAAAGAACAAAATCATTTTAAGCCTTCGTAAGTTTATTTGAAATACATTGTCAAGGAGGGGTCAAACAGCATTTACTTTGGTCAATGAACATATTTAGATGGTAATAGTCCAAAGAGATCAGAAACACATTTACTGTAGGGTGATTTGCTACTTTCATGTTATCTTTGGGGTTAT